ACGGAAGAAGCACCCCAGCCTCTGTGAGCCAAAGTCGGCAACCACAGAATCCTAAGAGGACGCAAGGGAAAGTATCCGAACTTCACTTGTGAGCACCCAATTTGTAGCAGGCTACAGAGGACAGTGGGAGCCCCCAAATTCTATCTGCAGAGTATCTCCTCAGATGAAGCTTCTAGCAGATGCCCTCTGGCCACAGGCGAGGGATGTTTTTTACTGCCCACAGAGATGATCGTAAACGTGATTATGGTGGGTCAAACCATGGGATAATATGAGACTTGGCCAGTTCACCTCGTCTGGACCCCACCTGAATTTTCTCTAGGCTTAAAATATGTCCCCCTTGTCCCACGACATAAATTACTTCTCCGGCTTTTTAATACTGCTAATGGTCTTTTCTTTCTTACTCTTTATGTTTTATTTCTCTGTTATTCTTTTCATTCCTTTTGGTCTTGTTTTGGTTTTGTTTTTTATTGTTCCTGTGGGTTTTCCCAGGTGTATGAAGCACAGAAGGAGTGGATGCACAGAGCCAATAACTGATGCAATGGTTTATGGGGTGGGGGGCTGTGGGGGAGAGGAGGGGAATTGGGGAACAAATCATGAATTAAGGAAGGGGGAGGGAGCACTAGAACTGATTGTGGTGATGTATATAAAAATCTTTTTTAAAGTGAATGAACTATGAAAGTGTACGATATGTGAATTTTATATCAATAAACACTTATTTTTTTAAAAGAAAGAAAATTGAACTCTCATTAAGTAAGTCCAGGCCACTTCTTAGCCCCTCCTTTACCTGATTCCAAAAGGTTACCAAAGTCAAGCTCCAACCTGTCTGCCAGCTCACTTCTTCCCTGGGAATCTCAAAGCTTCACAGCTCATAGGAGAATGCCTGATATCCCATCCCATCCCAGTACCTCAAAGACCTCATCTCCAACATTTAGTCTTGGATGTCACAAATAGAGGGAATGGAAGCATGTGAGAAATGGAAGTCATGGGGCCTCTTGTTTTCCCAAGGAGTCCTGGTGACATAGTGGTTAAGCATTGGGCTGTGATCCATAAGGTCAGCAGTTCAAAACCACCAGCCCTCTGTGAGGGAACAAAAAGAGTTCCAGTCTCAGAAACCTATAGGGTTCTACCTTCCCTATACAGTTCTACCCTGCCCTATAGAGTCACTATGAGTCAGAATTGACTCAGTGGCAGTGAGCTTGAAGTTTTTGTTTGGGGGTTTTTTCAGTCTTATTTTTCCAGATCTCCTGAGTTCTCCACCTTTAGTAGGGTGCCGTCTGACCATTTTTCTATAGCTCTTTTTTTAGTGGAAAACACACATTTTCCTTCTCTGGCAGGTTTCCACCTTACAGAGGTTCTGGCTTTGACAGTGTTATTGACGGAACACCTGCTAGATGGCAAAGAAGCCCTGGTGGCACTGTGGGTTAGGCATTGGGCTGCTAACCACAAGGTTGGTGTTTCAAGCCCACCACCGCTTCAATGGGGGAAAGATGAGGCTGTCTGCTCCCACAGAGATTTACAGCCTCAGAAAACCTGGGTGAACTGAGGGTTCCTATGAGCTGGAATTGAATTGATGGCAGCGGATTTAAAGAATGCTAGGCTTTCTACTCCCATAAAGAGTTACAGTCTCCCTTTGGTGAACCACGCCATGGACCGAGCACCGGGATGACCTTAGATGCTGACCTAGCAGATAGCAGGGCATCCCCCAGGGGACACACCAGAAGGACTCAACACAGACGCCTGATTGAATGAACCGAGCCCTGCCTCAAAGCTGCCTGCACCCTTAGACTGCAGTCTGGGGTCCTCTGATGGGAGGAAGCAGAGTGGCCAACCCAGAGCTGTGGAAGTAGTGGTCATTGGACCATAGGAGAACCCCTGGCTTGTTGGGTGCCCAATGGAAAGGGACCCAGAATCTCCATCTATTTAGTACCTTGATACCCGCCTTGCAGTGATATGACAGGTTTTGATCTGTTGGGCAGGGATCTGCACTTGTGAGAATTGATCCGGGAAACCTTCCCCTGGCACCAATCTCCACGCTTAGGGTAAACAGCTCAATCAATTGGGAGATCAAACTGCGCAGGGCATGGGTCATGGGCTCCGGCTCACAGCGGAACTGTACTGCCATCGACACCTCATCCTGACCGTGTCTGCAGTGCCGTGTCAGTGAAAAATTGTTGATGTGTTCCACGCAATTGCCTTTACCCCAGAGGTGTGATGGGCATGTTTTCCTTTTTACTTGCTGTGGGGTTTTGTTTTCCTGGCTGTTGTTGGTTTGTTGTGCTTGTTTGCTGGTTGGTCTGTGGCTGTTGTTGGTATAGTTGGTCTTATGGGGTTTTGCTTTGACCAAAGAAGCCTGAGGCAGGCATAACCCAGGGGCAAGCCAATGGAATCTGGACTCCCACTGAACTCCAGCCCCAGTCCAAGAACAGTGTGATCATTACATAATCTGTTGTCAACATTTGAGACTTATGAGTGAAGGGGTGGAGTTTACCTGTCAATCAGGTGACAGCTTGATGACCTCATTTGGAGACGTAAGGAGATACATAGCTTGCTGGAGGCAGGACTCAGACTCACTCCCTGAAAGACGTCCCTGTGGAGAAGACACATGGAGAGAGGCTGATGGAGCCAGACCTCTGGAGCCAGAGAAGCCACGTGGAGACCCCTGCCCAATGAGATGCTTACAACACCACTGGATCCACAAGACTTCCCACCCACTGACCTGTGATCTTCCTGCATTCTACATCATTGCATGTGCTTTGTGAGCCTGAAGAGGAATTTATAGATCGGTATCAGACACATGCACTAATATTGGACTTATAGGCTTGATCTGGACTGGCCTGCGATGTTTTCTCAATATTCAATTGCTCTTGTATGTCAAGTTCTTTCTTATACACTTGAGTCTCTATGAATTTGTGTCTCTAGTCTACCCAGACTAACACAAACAGTTAGTTCTGATAACATGGCCCTGCTCAATTCTCACCTTCATGAAATGATCACTGAAGTGCTACAGCAAAGTGTGGTGAAGAAAGCAGATGGTGCCCGGCTATCATTTGGAATAGTATCTGGGGTCTTAAAGGCTTGTATTCAAACAAGCAGCCATCTAAGTGAAGAGTCAACTAAGTCCACATGGAAGAAGCACACCAGTCTGTGTGATACAAAGATGATAATAACAAAATCCAAATATGATGAAAGGATAAGCATCAGAGCTTAAATGGGGACCATCCAATTTGTGGAAGGCTAAGAAAGACAGTGGGAGGCCAAAACCCATCTAGGCAGATGTATCCTCTGGCAGATCCCTCTAGCCACAGCCAAGGGTCCCAACCAGCTTTACTATCAGAGAGCATTGATACTGCGCCAGGTGACCTCCCTTTTGACCCAACCTGAATTTGTTCTAGGCTCAAGTATCTCTTGCATGTTCCATGACAAAAATTTCTTCCCTGGATTTTAAAATATTGAGGGTGTTCTTTTCTTTCTTACTCATTATTTGTGTTTTTTTTTTAACATTTTATTAGGGGCTCATACAACTGTTATCCCAATCCATACACACATCAATTGTGTAAAGCGCATTTGTACATCGTTTCTCAAAACATTTTCTCTCCATTTAAACCCCCGACATTAGGTCCTCATTTTTCCCCTCCCTCCTCGCTCCCCCCATTATTTGTGGTTTTATCTGTGTCTTATTATTATATCCTTACCACCTTTTGTTTTTTATTGTTTCTGTTGGGTTTCCCAGTTTATGAAGCACAGGAGTAGCTGCATAGAGATAATAACTGATGCAAAGGTTTACAGGAGATGGAGGGATGGAGGGTAGGGGGTGGGGAGGGTAAGGGTGAGGGGATTTGGGGAATAACAAGGAATGTGGGAGGGGGAAGGGAGCACTGATTGTGATTATACAACTCATTTTAAAAGCGATTTAACCCTGGAAGTATATGATATGTGAATACTATATCAAAAATACTATATCAAGAAAACCACGAAGAAAAAATAAAAAAAGAAGCCCAACTTGACCGATGGTTACCATAGGTGAAGGGGAGAGCGTTCACACACTGGGGGCGTTGAGTTTAGGTCAATGGTGGTAGAATAATTTGGAAAAGGAGATCAATAATGGCTGTACAGCACGAAGGACCTAATCAATGACAGAGAATTATACAAGTAGAAGTTGTGGAATGTTCTGTCATGTATATATTTTGCCACAATTAGGAAAAAACATAATAATTGCATGAATAAAAACGACTTCAAGGAAGGAAATGTTCTAGAATCGAATAGGATGACAATTGGACCGTTCTTCTTGATGTGACTGGATTACTGAATTGTGTGACATGTGGATGAAGAATGAATAGCACTTTTTTTTTAAGTTGCAGTCTGGGAAACCTGCAGGGGCAGCTCTACTCTGTCCCATAGGGTCGCTGTGAGTTCAAATCTACTCGGTGGCAGGAGGTTCTTGTTTATTGCCAGGAGTGGAAGCTGACTTTACTGCAACGGTTTAGCGTTCTTCAAGAATATCCCAGGGGGTCCTCGGAGTAGCATGAAGATGATTCCCAAGTATGGTAGATCAGCGTGAGGAGGGTGTCATAACTGGGGCAAATAAAAATGAATACGTACCTAGATGAGCCATCTGCTCCCATAAAGATTTAGTCTTGGAAATGTAGGGTCACTATGAGTCAAGGGTCCCTGGTAGGAAACGGATTGCGAATTGGGCTCCTCACCTCAAGGTCAGCAGTTCAAACCCAACAGCCGCTCGGAGTAAGATGGGGCTTCCTAAGCCCACAAGGATACAGTCGCAGAAAACCACAGAGTGGTTGTAACCTACCTGCGCTTGTGACTAGATGGCAGGGAGTTTGTCGCCTGCTGGTGTGCTGGGTTTCCCGTTAGACTGACAACCACCAGGGTGGTCTGGTTTGTTTGGGGTTTTCTTAAACTGCAAATAAGACAGTCTCCGACCTCAGGCAGCAGGGGGGGCCTCCACGGCCGTGGGTTTCAACCTCGAAGCGAATGAATCGATGATGTCTTCAGCCCCGCCGGGGCCGGCCCGGGTTCAAATCCCAGCTCCACCCACCCTTCGCGTGGGACCTGCGGCCGACCCTCTCCGCATCGCCCTCTTGGACGGTGAAGGTGAAGGAGGCCCGGAGGGTGCAAGGCGCCCTCCCGCCCCCTCCTCCAAACGCGCCCTGGCAGGCGCCTCCATTCCAAGGGTGGACCGGCAAGGAAGAGGTGGCGATAGCGGGCGGGCGTGAGGTCACCGCCGGGCTCGGGGTGCGGCCGCCCAGAGGCGCAGCCGAAGCTCCGCCTTCCAGGTTCCTCCTGGTAACACACGCCCTACCTGGGGGCGCGGCCGCGGCCTCCGCCCCCGAGCCCACCTGGGGGACGCCCA